AAAAATTCTACCAAAATACTTCCCATGCAGACGAAGTCGCGGGCACAGCTAGTATATACATATATTTCGTTTGCATGCAAGGAGTACCTTTATTTAGCTCTATAACCCTTAAACTTTATTTAAATTAATGAAATAGCTTGAAAAGGGCCCGAGTTATCGTTAAAAACCCAAATAATGAAGCACCCAAATTTTTTAAGTTTATAATAATTTATTCTTTCGTTTCGCTTCTATACCCTTCTGTTCACAAGATTTGAACTTGTATATAGACCTTTATATTTCGTTATATACATAACAAAATATATAAATAACTAATAAATTTACGCCATTTATAGTTCACAATCCGTCTTTATTTAACACAAAAACATTTCAATAGTGAGTTAGTTTGGGATGGTCAGTTTTCTTTAAGAACTTTAAGATGGGATAACTTTAAGATTTATCTTTACGTTCTTTCTCTCTCATACGACAACTCTTGCATATATCAAAATATGTCACAAAATATAAATGGCGTCTTTATTTAACACAAAAACATTTCAATAGTGGGTTAGTTTGGGATGGTCAGTTTTCTTTAAGAACTTTAAGATGGGATAACTTTAAGATTTATCTTTACGTTCTTTCTCTCTCATACGACAACTCTTGCATATATCAAAATATGTCACAAAATATAAATGGCGTTTTTTTTTTCAATTTTCTTATTTACCACTAAATAAGGCCGCTATGATTGAAATTCATTTATTTATATCGCATATCTGCCCTTGCGTCACTGACTTACATACTATTGATTCAGTGGTTTCGGATAAAATCCAGCTCTGATAAACGGAAGGATGGATAGATTCCCTTTCTCCGAGGTGTGGATGTTGAGGCAGAAAAAGAGATATGTTTGGTAGGAAATACTCGTAGTAAATGAAGATCAATGGTCTCTGCCAACTACTATGCAAATGTTGAATAAATACAAGTACAAATACATTTTGTACTTCTCTTTCTGCTATTTGGCGCGTTGGTTTTCAGTTCAGATTTATTTTCTGTCCGGTAGTTTTATAATTTAATTACTTCAGCCGATTAATTTCAGGGTTATCATTTAAGGACCAAATTAAGAGCCTTTATTACGTTTCATGCGGTTTGAGTCAAACTTGGGACTTTCCAAACGAAGACTTCTCCAAGAAATCTAAATTAAACTATTACGTTAAGGAAATTTTGTTATATAAAAATTTTGCTCATACGGAAAATTTTACTTTTAAACCTTTCAGCTTGACATTTGTAAGATATTCACGAACTTAACGTACAACTATTAGATATGTGTTAGTATTTGCGATCGCTACGTTATATAAAATATATTAAATGAACGATATAGTTAATTTAAAATTAATTAGAATTGTTTAAGGGAAGCAATAAGTACTTGAGAGCTATTATGTCAAACGAATGGGTTTAATTAAGTTTTGATTATGTTAATTTCACATATACTCGTAGATTTTACAATTAGACAACTAGCCCACTAAATGATGTTTTATAAATATCAAAATCAATTTCATATTATTTTTTAGGCTTTATTTTTTATTAATTAAAGTTTTAAGGTTCAAAATACTAATAATTTATTTAATAATCTTGATATGGAAAAAAATACTATTGTCATGGTATCCCCTTATTAAAATGCTTGCCTTGTCGTCCGTCCGTTCGAGACTGTTCATTGTTTAGGCTTCGAATTTATATTCCGTTCGTGGTTGAGAATTTTATCAGCGTCCGTTTTTATCAGACAGTCTTTCATAACAAACATGTTTCTATAAATTTTGTCACGAAATCGATTTGTTACGAGAATGGCTACATATTGGTTCATTAAGTTTGAATTTAAATAGCCATTTTCTTAAGTGTGGATTCCAGTCAGATAATAGAAAAATATTAGATATGTATTTTTTTTTTTGCTTTAATTTAACAAGAAATAGCTTAGATAACAGTTTTTGTAGAAAATGCCTAAGTGTAATCTCATCTGACATTTTAACTCAATGTACCGCCGTAATTTATATTTCCTGTAGTTTAAAAATTAGCAAAACTAATATTACGTTACCATTGTGTACTTTGTCATCGGAACGATACTTTTTTGGTTGAAAAAACTTTTAAAAACAACCTTTTTTTTGTCATTTTTACGATGATATTTTACTGAATCAACAATTAAAAAAATATTTAAATATTAAGGGATTGTTCAGATTTATACCAAACATTTTGTCGGCAGCTGACTGTTTATATAAATATAGTGTTATTTTACAAATAAGATAAATACGCTTTGAATGTGTGTTAAATTTTATTTAAGCTTTGGTTAAGGCAAAATAACCCTTAAACATTGTTTAAAATTTAAACACATGTCGACGGTTGTTTATCGAGTATCTAACCTCAAAACAGTTGCGTTCGTTTAGTGTCAGAGAAGATAATATTGATATGGACGATTTAGATTATATAGAAAGCTTTCGGTACACGCAAGTAAACCGAACGCGAATTATCATTTTGAGTAATATGATGAACTTGGATTCAAAAGAAAATATCGATTTAGTAAATTGTTTGCTAACAAAATATATGATATCGTAAAAAATGACCTTCCACATAACCCTCGAGGTGGAACTATAGATCCACGAATACAAGTAGCATGTGCGCTAATCTCTGAATTAGTAGGTACAGTTCGGTAGTTCTTACTATATCGATAAAACGAAATAATTTTTTGGTAACTTATTTCGATGTTCTTCTTGACTAACAAATATCAAATGCTCATCATCCTGGCCAAGCGAGGCCATGAGGTCAAATTCATTAGAAGGTACTGAAACTATGCTGAAAGTTGATGCTTTTTTTCAATATTATATGCTGCATACCCTACCCCAAATCTCTGTGCACGTCCCTGTTTTCAAGTTTGATAGTTTTACTTCGTTTAAACCGATTTATTTATACACATATACTACGAGTATTATATTCACAACACTGGGTCCATGATTAATAAAGCCGTTTCTATTGTGGCTTGATTTTTCAATACGTGTTGGGTTATAATTCCGCTGCATTTTATATTCCATTATTTTTATTGTACTAGTGCCAAGTCGATTCGCTTGTCGTGTTCTTTTATGTTGCTTTTTGGCGAGGCTTGGGATTTCGTTGGACAAAATATTAGTTCTGCATTCAGCATAATTCATCGCTAAAGTGATGTCTGGGAACACTGACGTGATATTGACCTAGAAAGTTAAATATTTTAAAGTTAAATATTGGATATTGGCATTCAGAAAATTCAGCAGTTTCCTAAGAAGAATTTTCCTGATTTGGCAAACAGTATTTTACGGTTATGTAAAAAATAAAATTGAGTTATAAGATATTTTTATATAAAGCCTAACCGCCCTGCGCTTTTTGTGTATTTTTATTAAAGCTATTGAAAACTTATCTAAATCAATTACTGACATCAATCAAATGAAAATAAAAATAAAAATTATAACAGGTTAAATAATTATTCCGTTATAAGATATAACCTTTTTATCATATACTAGCTTTTGCCCGCGATTTCGTACGCGTGGTATAGTTACTTTGGGCAGCATTTCTAAAAACGCTAAAACAAATACATTCATACCCGAATATAAAGTTTCATGATTTTATCTTTGGCAATAATGAACTTTCATAAAACCTTAAATTCCTAATTCAACCTTTTTATTACAATATAAAACAACCTATATCCTATCTCAAGTTAATTATTTATAGTGGGTAAGGCGTTACAGCTTCACACACCTGTAGACCTATTTTCGCAATATAATATTGGTATGGAATAATTAAACGATTCTCTTTGTCGCTCATTATATCATATAATAAGAAATTACTAGACAGATACCAAAATAAATAAACAAAGAACAAAATTGCTTGGTCGACTTTAAAATTCAGAGCGGTTCTTTTTTCGAGTTTTCATTGACATTTTGTGTGAACTAATGAAAATAAGATTGAGATTAATATTATAATGAATATGTCGTAGCCAACTGGGTAATTAGGCGGCTAGCTCTATAATAGAATATCGCAAGTTATTTGCATGACTAAATGTCAATTAGGCGAGTAATCATTATAACGTCTTTTTACAGCGCCGCTGTATAATGCCTTGGGCACTGGTTAACTGGTAAGGATTAAGATACAAAACATAATTATTAATTTTCTTAATAGCAAAAAAGCCGATGTTAAATACAGATGGAAAGAACACAAATGTAAAGTTTATACTAAATGCAATCGTAAAATGACATTTACGTAATTTTATTTTTTAATAAAACGATTACGCAGTTTGGTTATGAAAAAATACCGTCTAGTATAGTAATGCTTAAAGTTTTTTCTTTATGCATTTTATTTTAAATTTATTGGCCACAGACTTAGAAAGTAACACTCGGTTAGTCTTTCACAATTCAAATTAAATATTAAGTTCTAAATCATGCAAGTCAAATCATTGTTAGGAATGTCAAGACGTCAAGGAGATTATTATAACAATTCATATTAATATAATTTTATTAAATAATTTATTTTAAGGGTTTTTATATAAAGCTTTCATCATCATCATCATCAGCCCTTTTACGTCCCCACTGCAGGGGCTCAGGCCTTCCTTATGGATGGTTAAGGAGGATGGGCCATGACCCTCCACGCTGGCCTAATGCGGATTGGAGGGTATTAACGACTGCAAATGCAGCAGGGACCAACGGCTTAACGTGCCTTCCGAAGCACGGAGTAGCTCGAGATAATCATTTTTTGGTCACCCATCCCGTGACCGACCATTGCGAAAGTTGCTTAACGACTGCGATCGCGGGCCGCGGCGCTTATCCACTACGCCACCGAGCTACCTGAAGAAAATTTGAAACTCTTTGGTATATTTTGTGAAGGAATCTGCACACTGAACCAGCACAGCACTGAAGGCGTTATCATATAAGAAAGATCAAAGTTATAACATTTTCCAACTCACGTAGACAATTTAAAGCCTCTAGAGATAAAATCATTACATTAAGACGTAATTTTTCCAGGAGACCAGAACCGTGCAGTTGTTTATGGTAGTATTGTGTCTCTGTCGCACCGAGTCTTCGCCATTCCCGAAGGGGCAACGAGCTTTTACTCTTGAAGAGGTGGTTCCATTAAAAGACTTCTACCCGGAGATCATTACCGTGCAATGGATGTCAGGTATAAGCAACTACTAAATTAACAAATGTTTTTTAAAATGGTTTTGAGGGTCGAGGCTTAAAATTGACTCCTATTAATTAACACATGATCTGGCCTTAAACTTTCAAGATACTGTATAAGTTGTATTACGTACCAACTTGTTATTACAGTAAGTAATATATTAGTAGGTATGTTTATATCTTTGTATTTACGTAGTTTGTAATATTTATTTGATTATACTTGAATTTTATGTTTGTTTGTTTTATCAAATTTTGACTAACCTAAGACAAAAAAAAAAATCTTGAGATAGGAGATTTTAAATAATTTCTTAGGTATCATTTCATTTGCAGAATGGTCTTTTGCATAATAGTTAGAGTATCATTGGATAAGACTTTAGAAATTATATTAACTTTGGTCAATTTAGTTTTCATTTTTCAATACGTTATTCTACTTACTGGCTCATTACTGTTACAATATTAAAATATACAATGTGGTATTTATTCACGTCATTTAGTTGCGTAAGAACGCTCAAGGCTAACTAAAACAAAATCTATTTCGCCGCTAGAAAGGCAAATTTGAATTAGCGACACGAGGCAAATTTGCAGTCAAATCATTGAAAATTTGACATTTCAGAAATAAAATAATAAATAATAAACGATGTTTATTGATTCGGTGACCTAATAATATTTAAAAAGACTTTATAAAACAATATTAGTTTGAATATTGCCCAGTTCATTAGACAATGGAAGCTAAAGAAATTAAGTAGATATTAACTTTAGTAGTTTAGTCGATACTTCTTCAGAATGTAAAAATACCACAATCGCTAATAATAAAAAAAAAAACAATCAATCGATGCAAAAAAAAAATAATGAAACTGCATTTTATATGTATGCATATCTAAAAGTATTCCCTCGATTAAGAAATATTTATTGTAAAACAAGAGGTAGATAAAAAGTGATTTATTAACATTGCATATCAATTAATTGTCAATTTGTATAAATACTTATATCACTTTGCTGTTTAGCATACCTCGACTTTGTGTTAGACTCTTTATTAATTTCTTACAGTGGTTTTCATACAAAACAGAGAGCATGCTATTTCTTTTGTGTTAATAAATCATACTCGTAACTATCTTAAAACTACATTTAGATAGAAAAACAGAAACAAGGAGGTTATCAATACGTATGAATTTATACTTATAACATGAGTTTAACAGTTTTTATTTGAAAGGTGCTTTATTACACAGTTCACGACTTGTTTTTACTAAGAATATATTTTTTTTACTACTAAAATGGATTCTATTTATATACGTAGAATAGTTATTCTAATCTATAAGAAAATTATTATTCAATTTTTTAAGTCTGGTATAGTATTTTTGCTATTTTGTATTTTAAAAATTTATATTATTTTTACAGACACAGAATTTATCCGCAGAGAGCCAGGTGCAGGACTAGTAAAATATAATACTGTGATGCCTTCTGTCACTACGCTGCTGGACGAGATGGACCTGGTAAGTATTCGAGTCGGCAGTCACGCACGTACTGCATAATTTGACCATTTATTTTTGTATATTTCATGGATACTTAAGAAAACATGCTTTGGATGTATATTAATTTAAATATTTTAAGTTGACAACATCCATCATATTTTATTACAAAAGCAAAATAACTTTATCATCTATTACGCTTTCTTAGCTAAGCTATTGTACTAATTTTGATTAAGTTATTGAAGAGACAGTACAAGGTATGAACAGTTAAGTTTCAGGTGTAAATGATTTTCTTTATAAGTTTTCACGACTAAACTATTTTGATGAAGTTTGTTACAGAAACAGTTTAAAACGGTCATAAAAAATGAAATTTTTTCATTTAAGAAAAATTTTAAAAGTAACTTCTTAGATTATTCCGTACAGTAAATAATTGGTGAATTAATTATATATTATTTCATATATTTTTTCCCATCTCTTTATATTGGCACAAACAGTAATAACAAAACAATACAAAGAATTAAGTTTCTTTAATAATGATTTATCCCCAAATTAAATATTATGTACTTTCATTTGACATGTCACACAACAGTTTCTGAACAGTTTTTTTTTTGTTATTTTTCTAACTTATCCAAAGCTACTAATCCATTTATTTACGTTGCCCAACCGATTTGTTGGTACAGAACTCTAAAAGTAACTAAACAATCTTTTGCAGTATCTTAACCAAGAAAAAATGCTGTACACCTTTTCTCAAGATGGAAACTATTTGTTGCTGATCGCTAACAAGAAGAAGGTAAAGTTTTATTATTAACAAGTTGTTTATACGTTAGTACTGTATACAGGAAAAATTAGTGCACTGAATTAAAAATACCTTTAGACATCGAAGCAATGTGGAGAAATTAAAAAGATCTCACCAAGTGTGAGCCGGACACGCGTACGAAGACTTCCGTTACATATCTATAGCCCGTTCGCTTGCGAATGCGAAACTATGCGAATGTAAATAGGGCTGGCACTTTTTGAGAAACAAAATTCGTGACATCCAGATAGCCATCAGAAATTAGGACGGGTTGCAACCCTGAATGCGAAACATGAGTGTCTGTGTAACGACGTTTTTCGCAGTTGACTGCAAAACCGTACTGACAAAGATGGCGCTATTACAATGAGCTAATATTAGAACGAGACAAAGCACATGCGAAATATTGCCATGCAACTGACAATATTTTGCAAATGTTTCGCTTTGCATGAGTGATTGCGTCGATGTACTAACGGCGTAAAAATCGGTAAAATAATGAGATAAGATAAGATCTTTATTTGCTAGAATACAAATCAAAAGGTCACAAACTTAACTAATGATATAGGTAGATTATTCTACCCGAGAACAGGAGTCCAAATATTAAAATCACGTGTAATATATGAGAGCGTTTGTGATATTTTTTTTGTAATTCAATAAATTGAACTTGAAGATTTTCTTATATTTATTTTTACTTCGCGATCAGTTTTCATTAATTCCTTTTAGTTTGCTTTTTACATTTAAGTGATCTATGTCTCATATTTTCTATAACGCACCAATTGGAGACAGTACGTTGATAACATAAAAAGTAAATGAAGTCATTTGACATTAAGTTATTTAATTGTAAGACGGGTTCTCATAACCGAACATTCTCTCTCGGTTATTATGCATCAAGGTTCTGGTAATAAAAAATCATTGAAAGTCTTAAATTTTTTGTTTATAAGAAACTGCATAAGTTTTGTGCTAATTAACTCGTAAAAATCTAGGTTTTACTCCACCACAGCCATTTGTATTCACTTAAACAAAATAAATAATTTTTGTTGATATATCGCTATTGTAAACGTCATAAATAAACACAAAATTAAAACGGACTTGCACCGTGCCATGATAAATAAAAATACATATAAATCATGTTTGTTTGTATGGGAGCCCTGTCAAATATTTATTTAATTTTTTAGTATATCGCACCCCCGGTGCGACACTGTCACTTTTGCAAAAAATACAAAGATTAGTTAAATATGTAATAATTGTCCTAAAGCCCCCTTTACTTGGTGCGATAAAGTTACTTTTGTAGATGAATCATATGGAACTATGTTCCAATGATTCATCTCATCTGTATCTTCTAAAGTCATTGTTTTGTGAGGTGGCAGAGTTTAAAACTCTTCTCCTGAAAAACTAAATTTTTGCATAAGTGACAGTGACGCACCGGGAGTGCGATATGTTGTTGGCACCTACATCACCTATGAAAATTTCAACTGTCTATTGACGAATCATAAGATATAACCTGACATTTAGACGGACGGATAGTGGAGTCTTAGTAATAGAGTTCAGATTTACTGTTTGGAAAAAATTGTAATGTTTTTAACGTTTAAGACGTATGTTAAAAAAAACATTTATTTTTAATATAAATATGATGCTGCTATGACTACTATTTATGAAACGATGTTGTCGTTTCTGGCAAACAGTAGCACTATAGGACTACTGAAAATATCTGATGTTCGATTTATTTTCAAAAGTTTAATAGAAAAAATATATATACTGTAAATATGAAAGCCGTATTAATATCCGTTGTGTAGTTGATAAGATCTCAGCGTGCAGACAGCGGGAAGTGACTTTGTTATATAGATATGATACTTTCAATTGTTTTATGCACATATAATTCACAACATACGAGTTTTCGCGTAAGGTTTTACTGGAAGTAGTTTACTCATTTATATTTTAATATTATTTCAGGTTTACCGGTATTCGTTTATTGCCAACTATTTCCTAATGAACCTTAAAGACAAGTAAGTAACATTCAATCTTCTACGAACATATGATTGGAAACTGGATCAATCAAAGATAAATATTTTGAGCCCAATATTTATTCTAAAAAAAAAGAAATTTCTAATTATTTCCTTATTGGACCGATTTGAAAAAAATCTTTTATAATTAGAATCCTACATTATCTCTGTTGAATAAAGGTAATAGAATATTTTCGAAAACTTTAAGGATACGTATGAAAACCATGAATATCCTAGCGAATTCGGGGTGGGTAGTTAGTTGTCTATATTTCATTGTGTTGTGTAAATATGAATTTTAAATATTTCGCATTTTTTATTCTAAATTAAGTTTTGTTTAAATTGAAATGTACAATGTCAATTCCATATTTTAATCAATAATAATGTTTTTTAGTTTTTGTGAATTTAATTTTTATGATAAATTCTAGAATAATGTTTTGTGTTTATATTTTGCAACTTAGCGTCATGCAAGGATTCGTTAATAAACTTATAAATCATTATTTCTAAGTGTATTTGATAATGATCTTCGTTAACAATCAAGTAGGTATTTAGTTTTTGTATTTAATAAATTTCACATGTATTCCTCACAAATCAACTTTTATCGTAAGGAGTTATTGTTGAAGCACGATTGTTTGTCTGTCACTACGCTAACATTAGCAGAATTGCCCTGCATTAGATTTTCGAGTATTTTTAAATACAATTCACTATTTATTTGTGTAAATTGTATTAAGTATGATTGTTTTGGAGATTATGGAAAAGAATTTTATTATCATAACTAGGAGCTGTAAATTATGCACGTGTAAATGCGGGTTAGGTAATGAAAATTATTATGTTGGTTTGAATACATTACACATTATAATGTACATAAATAGACTATGGGACTAACTATGTCAAGGTAAACTTCTTGAAGGATAAACCTAGAACAGATAACCAAATAAAATAATAAAATACATGCTATAAAATTAAAGCTAATCTGTGCTTATACTTCATATATTTCTATGACTTTAAAGTGTGATTAAGAAAGAGAAAAGTATGTCCAGGTCCAGTATAAATTTATGATTGAAACAAATGACAATTGATCCAGCTGTAAAACAAATACTGAATGTTAAGATAAATCTATACTAGAATTTAATGTAGTAGGTATAAACATCCTATACTATATATCCTATACTTTCATCTCTCAGTTGAAATAATTTAAAAATTTTGGCAGTTTTTATGCTAAAAGTGGAGAAGCGTAATCCACTCGGAAGCAAAACATCCCATTGTAGTTAAATCGCATGTTTAAAGAACATTAAAACTTTTGTTACTAGTAAAGTCACGCTTATGTCCGGATAACATGAACATATTCCACCTTAAATCGGTTTATAACATTACGAAATTAACATAATTAAATCACTACTTCCTAGTTTTTTGTCTTGAAACAAATCTAGTGAAGTTTGAATTAGTATTAATATTAAACAATCTCTTTAATTTTAAATAATAATACTTCGAAAAGGAGCACAAATAAATCAATAATGTTTATATTTAAATATTATAGATTTATTTTCTCACGGTTGCTAGACTGGCGATTAATAGTGTTTCAATTGTATGAACTCAAAATTAAAATGGAAAATTTGAGAGGAAAGATTTGATTGTTTGTTTGCATTGAATACGTTCCGAAACTACAAGAACGATACTGAAAACAACTAGTGTGAGATGAACAAGTATATTCTGTTAAAGTTTATGTAATTTGCAGGTCTATCCAAAAAATTGCCAACGGATTGCCCCTTCAAGTAGTCGTGTGGAGTGGATCTAACGCTTTAGCATATGTTAAAGATAATAACGTGTTCTATATTCCTGACCTGAAACAAGCAGATGCTTCTATTCAGCTAACCACTAAAGGGGTCCCTGGCGAGGTCTACTTTGGAGTCACTGATTGGATTTATGAAGGTAATTTACATGAATTTGTTTACACTTTTTATTCAGCAATATTCTGTTTTAAGAGAATTTTGTTTATCTAATGTATAAAAAAATAAAATAAATACAATAAAGTTAGAAAGGCAAGATTCATTTCAAGCATTAATTTGCAGAGGAAGTGTTCAATGCAGCAGAGGCCTTGTGGTTCTCATCAAAAGGTACTTATCTCGCTGTAGCATCGTTCAATGATACTTCTGTGGAATCAGCGGTCTACCCTTACTATGGAAATATCTCTGACCAATACCCTGAAATGGTTGAGTTCAAATACCCAAAGGTTAGTAATATATCCTTTGAAAATATTAATGATCTGTATTATTTCTGACAATTGATTTCATAATATTATTTGCTAGGCAGGTCGCACCAATCCTCGAGTAGGACTACATGTCTACAAACTCGATCACCTTCATAGTGAACCATGGAATATCCCAGCCCCAGTAGACGTCGTGGGTCTAGATCACATTCTAGGACGAGTCACTTGGGCATCGGATCAAAACCTTGTTGTATTATGGTTAAATAGACGACAAAGCATCAGTATTCTAGTAAATTGTGATCTGAAGCAAGACAAATGCAGTATGATAAAAGAGCAGAGGGAACCCAATGGCTGGATTGACATTAACAAGCCATTTTTTGACAAAACAGGAACGAAAATGATAGAAATTCAACCATTGTATCATGGAGATCAAAGGTTCTTACATGCTGCTCGATTAGATTTCCTTTCTTTGACCACTGAAGATTTAAGTCCTGGTAATTCAACGGTTACGGAAATTTTAGGATGGGATGAAGATCGCGATATAGTTTATTACATAGTTTCTCCTTGTAATTTGCCTTGGCAAAGGCAATTATGGGCTTCCTCAGAAGGTATCGTGCGATGTGTAACTTGTAAGGAGTCATCGTGTCATTATGTTACAGCTATTATTTCCCCTAAAGCTAGCTATGGCTTAGTAACTTGCACTGCAGCCAATAGTGTTCCAATAGTATACTACTATAATTTTAAGGTATTCGATTAAAAATAATTTTTATATTCATATTAACCCGATTATTTTAGAAAGTTTCTAATATAAAAAAAATAAATTTTGTAGAATGGAAAAGCGGATATAATAAAGAACAATGCAAATTTGGCAGAAAAATTAAGCCATTACAAGATTCCCTTGACACTTTTCAACGTCATAACATTAGAAGATGATGTGATGGCACATGTTAAGCTGTCACTACCAGCAGATATTCAACAAGACAAAAAATATCCTATGGTGTTGAGAGTGTATGCTGGTCCTGGGACTGCACGAGTGAAGGATAGTTTTGACTTAGGTAAGATATATGCTGCTTTTCTTTGATTGCTATTGCAAATAATAATTAAAATATGTATATTCTAAAGATGTCTTTCCTTTTTTAAGAATTTTACGGCCTATATTTATCATCCAATCGAAGTTTCATAGTAGCAGCAATAGATGTAAGAGGATCTGGAGTTATGGGTGTAGAGGCGATGCACGCGGTAAACAGAGCCCTTGGAACAGTTGAAGTCACTGATACTTTAGCAGCTGTTAGGTATAATAAAACTTTTGTTGTGTCTAATATTTTCGAAGAAAAAACTATCAAGTTTAAGATTCGGATAGTATTTTATAACGTTAATTTGTGTATGCTCAAATATTGGTTATAACTAACCCAATTAGGTATCTGCGAGTGACATTAGTTTATATATTATGGTTAATTAGGATTTTTATATCGCATATGACCTTATACTCCAGCCAAATTGGATAAAAAATGCTGCTCGATTAGATAATGTAAACAAAGCAAAGTAGGGTCATCACAAGTTAGATGACAAAAAATTATATAAACTTCATATTTATCACCAGGATATTGCACATTGATAAAGTAGTATCTCGTAATCGAAAAAAATATAATGTTGATTAGTTTAGAAAGGTTATTAATACCTGCCTGTCACTGGTTGCTAAGCAACGCCTTGTTAGTAAACATTTTTCATCGAATTTGGTTGTAGTATAGTTTGAATTCTGTAAATTATCTCCGGCCTATGTTATTATGTGTGCTACAACATTTGATTGTGTGTGCAATCCTTCTTATGACTTAATTGATTATGGTCTGGTTTATATATTTTTTTCTTTTCACCTACTCAGAAAACTGTTATCTCTATATTCGTTCATCGATCCCAAGCGCGTTGGTGTATGGGGCTGGAGTTATGGTGGTTATACGAGTACAATGATGCTCATTAAAGATGATAAGAAAATGCTTGCATGTGCCGCTGCAGTTGCTCCGGTTACATCTTGGCTTTATTATGGTAAAGTAGACATTTTACAATATTCTAGATATATCTAAATACTTCTTTTCAATAATTTTTGCCTTTTGAGTAATGTGTTATGATTTGTAGTGCTATTCCGTAAAAAATAAAACGTCGAGCATCAACTGACTTCAATATGAAATAAAGGTTTTATATGTAACCTCTAATGTTACGACAGTGTTTAACCAGAATAACTTACATGATCTTTCATTTGGTTGATTTATGGAAGGCGGCGACTTTATCACTATTAGGTATTATTATCTTTACAATTAATGGTGTAAAGTTCGGTGTATCATTATGGAATAATGAGCCATCATTATGTGTTAGAATGTTCAATGGTGTTCCCAAACTTTATGTATTGGTTTAATGACCCATTTATTTTTTCTACCTAGTTAAGACTTGTAGAAATTTTAAACATTTTATCGTTCCAGATTCTATATATACAGAGCGGTACATGGACACACCGCAGGAGAATCCTGTAGGCTACAATCGGTCGGACGTGATTACTGCAGCGGAGAAGTTGCGCGGGCGCAAGTTCCTACTCATTCACGGAACTGGCGATGACAATGTGCACTATCAGCACAGCATGCAGTTATCTAAAGAGCTGCAACATGCTGACATCCCGTTTGAGCAAATGGTCAGTTTGTGGATAAATAAATAAATAAATAGTAGACAACATCAAAAACATTGCTAAGATATCAAGTGGTGCTTAGTAATTTTATTTCACGTTTTATTATTAAAACATATAATATTTAATCTTGGCAAGGGACTATATCTATAGATCAATCATCTAGTATTTGAGTGAAGAAGTCACAAATATCCGAATATTTACAATTACACGTCTACTATAATGTCTTTTTTAAACTTTTTGTTTTTTATTTGCAGAGTTACACTGACGAAAACCACTCTTTGATGGGAGTGAGTCGACACTTCTATCATATGCTGGATCACTTCTGGACACAATGTTTCGATTCATAACATAGAATTTAAAGTGTCAAAATGATAGAATAAAACAGAATATTTTTTAGCCCACGCATTATAGAAACAGTTATAAAAAAGTTGAATATTGTTCAAAAGTCATTTATATACTATTTTATTAATAATGAAATGTCAAAGTTAGTTAATTTATATTTTAACGTTCGTCAATGCTGATGTCAGGGTTTGTTTTTTGACTTAACTCGATGAAAAGTATTTTTTTAGATATGAATTAAAGATCTATATAGGTACATACTTTATATTCGCAAAAAAAAAAACCATAAGCGATTTCTATTTCTGTTTTAATTAACTAAAAATGATCTCTCTGTGAAAAGTGGTAGTAAAGAAGAATTATCAAGTATCAATATCTTGCTGATTAATTATGTAAAAACTATTAATTTAATTATACCATTTTTTAAGAATCGTGTTTTATTTATTTTGTAGTTGTCATGGTTTCATTATTTTTTATTAACAAGGGATGTCGCTAGTATAAATTTATAAAACGTTCGAAGGAGATAATAAATAATATTGCCTAAGAATTGGGTTAAGTTTATTTGAAAATTTTATTTAATTTCAATATTAAAGGTTTTTATTAAACTAAAAAACTCATAACAAAGTCATGGTGTTGAGTTACAATTGCAAAGCATTTTAGATAATTCAGAAATGAATATCCCATTCAAACATTTACATTTGTCAACATTTCAAATTTTGATGACCTTAAAAATGGACTAAAAACTCAATACTAAAAATAGTTAAATTCTGTAAGTCATAAATAAGTAAACGTATAATATGTCAGTTGTAGTATAGTGTGCGCGGAAATGCTATAGTGTGCTAATATGCGGGCGGTAAGACACGGGAGGGCGCTATTGACAAGATGCACATGAGGTATTTATTAAGAACAGATAAATCTCAGGATAACATGTTAGAATCTATCCTAATCAATGTAATGGCGGTATTTATAAAGTCATTTCTCCATTTCCTAGTTAATCCATATCCTACTCAGAATGTGACTCATTTCCTTGATTTATGATTAACTCATCTATCACTTACTGCCCGCATACCTCAGGCGGTGACTAGCACTTCTGCGCACACTATAGTAAACATTTTTATAATTTTACTAGCGAGATTCTAAAATAATGTATCTATGATCTAAGAATATAATGCTTTTTGTATTCCTTATTCTTCTATTCTGTGTCATTTTCATAGAGTAAATTAAAACGTAGTGCTTAAATTCTCTTTGAAGTAAGTCATTCTACGAAATTTTCTATGAATTTCAGCAAAATTTTAGTGATTCTTCTACCTTTCCCAATATTATTCTATAATTTATGAAACTTTTAGATAACAAAGTTAAAGGGGCTTTAATAAGAACATGGCCCAACTTAAAGAGATGGTAAGTTGTGTGACAATTCTCGTAACTAATGTGAAGCATATTCAATGTTACTGAAAAAAAAAATTCTCTAGGGTATCGGAGAGATCTCCAGCTATAGTAGATTGCGGGCCAGATTTGGAAGATCGAGGTATATGCGTGGTGGACTCGTGTGATGCTGAATTATGTTTTCCGGAACCGCGTGTGGTCATTATAGGGGCTGGTATGGCGGGTATATCAGCTGCAGCAAGATTGTCACAAAGAGGGATCAACAATCTCGTCGTTCTTGAAGCTTATGAAAGGTTTAGTACCTTAAATTCTTCTTGTTGCTATGATAACTAAGTTTTTACATTAGAAGCTCGGTCGTTTGTTTCATAGATGACTTCTAAAACTAACTTTTTTAATAATTAATTCCAGACCTGGTGGCCGTATTCATTCTTGCTGGCTTGGAGACGTAGTCGCAGAACTCGGTTCTCATTGGAAGCAGGAAAATTGTTTTACTCATCCTGTTTACACGTTGTCGGCATCTGAAAATCCCCCTCGCCCAGGTGTGCCAGGCGTTGAAAATACAAGGGGATTATTCAACAGAGTCATTTGTGGTAAAATGGCATTTCCTCCAACAATAACAGCGTATCACAAATTCCGACAAATAGAAGAAGAGGCCGCTCAAATATATTGTCTCGGTGGAAATAAGCAACAAGGGTCATTGATTAATTTTATGAGCTTGAGAATTCAACAGGAGTTGCATGAATATCCTGAAGAGCAGCAACACGACGCAGCAAGAGTTATGTTTGGTTTAGCTCATATGCTCAGCGCACGGTGTGGAGATGACACAGCGATGCTTTGTGCCGATCACGCTGGATGTTTTATGAGTATGCCAGGCGGCGACGTACGAGTACCTTTGGGACTTGTAGGTATACTGGCTCCGTTATTACGCCAAATACCAGAGGGTGCGATACGTTATTGTAAGCCAGTTAATTGTGTCTACTGGGGAACGGCACAGAAAAGTGGATACAGGGCCGTAGTCTGTACAACAGACGGCGAGGAATTCCCAGCTGACTACGTCATCATAACCGTGTCACTTGGTGTCCTAGCTGCAAATTCTGCAAGCATGTTTTGCCCGGCATTACCTGCTTCGAAAATAGATGCTATGCGATGCCTTGGCTATGGTTATTGTAATAAAGTATATTTAGAGTATTGTAGGCCATTTTGGTTTTGGTATAAAGGCGATTTGAATTTTAAATATTATCGCAACTGTCCAAGTTGTCGTAACGACTGGACTCGAGGAGTGACTGCTATTGAACAGGTACCTAATAGCAAACACGTTTTGTGTGCGTGGGTTGTCGGCCAGGAAGCAAAGTCAATGGAGCGGTTCTGTGACAGAGACGTAGTTGAAGGTATAACAGAATTGCTGCGAAGTTCGACCGGTGATACGTCTATTCCATACCCAATGACAGTTTTGAGATCAAATTGGACTTCGGATCCATTTTTCTGTGGAGCTTATTCTTTCGATTGCAATTGTAGTGATGGTACGGCACAGAGAGCTCTAGCGTGTCCGTTACCAGGTCCAAGGGAGTCTATACCGCCGATTCTGTTATTTGCTGGTGAGGCAACTGTACCTGGACATTTTGCTACGGTATCTGGTGCCAGGCTGAGTGGTGTGAGAGAAGCAGAGAGAATCGTGCAGCTTACCCTTCAATATAAAGGTCCACCGTTGCCTGTGATACCTAAACAACAGCCTAAGAACAAAAAGGAAAAAGAGGATAAATGACATCAGAGTCCGATTTTGTAGTACATTAAAAAGATGCCCAATATATGTATGATACAAAGAATAGGGAAAGTTTAATATCAGCCCGTTGTTTGACTTCTTTTCATATTCTCGTGTTTCTGTAACTACAAACATATCTAGGCAACTTTCTCGACGCTTCCTGTTAGTGTTGAAAGTTTGATGACACAAATAACTGGTCTCATGTTTAGTTTGAAATATAAATTAAGTATTATTATGTAACTCTCAATGTTTTCTAAGTCGTTATACAAATTTTAAACGTTATATTTACTGTCTTTTTTATATTAGGTTGGGTTATTTTAGTTTTTACAAGTTCGTTATTCCATATTAATATTAGCTTGGTCAAAGAGCTATAATCTATGCTTATATTAAAAAGAGGTAAAGTTTCTGACTTTGTTTGTAAGGGATAAACTTCGGAAAACTGATCCGATCATGAACATTCTTTCAACTACGAGACGCTACATCATACGCGGATGTTATCTATATATATAAAATGAATCCCTATTTTCCCTTGGTCACGCCATCACACGTGAAGGGCTGGACCATTTCGATAATTCTTGTTTTGTTGTGTTCGTTTTTGTCAGGAGAAGGTTCTAATGAAAGAAAATTACGTGGAAAATTTGAAAATTTAAGAATATTTAACTACCATATAAAATCATTTGTAATCTAACCTTAGCGCTTTGATTAATATAAACTTTAAATAAAATATCCTCAAAATATCTATAGTAAAACTGTTTAATACATAATTATCATCTCCCTTTAATCTCCTTTCCCATTTAACATTAATAATATTTACCGCAGAACTTATAATTAGTTCTGAAAAATTATGTAGTTTATTTCAATTATATTTCTATTTCCCCGCACATAAACAACAATATAATTTGCATACTCATATTGGTAGGATGAATTACGTTCAATCTTATGTCGCTGCGGTTCCACTAATCCGGTAAACGGCAGTAACTATGGGAGCATAGTTATCGTAATTTTTGCATTTATTTGCTAGAATGTCATGCGGAAAAAGAATTCTGCTTTTATCCTTGTAAGAGGCAGATAAAACCTTATTGCTTATCTACGCGTTTATAAACAAAACTGTCACATGGATTTTCTTATAAGAAGCACTATATGTTGTTTAGATTGTTAAAAATAGCATTAACATTAGTTTTTTAATTTAAAAGTTACAGACAGCAGGGGGCAGTTTTGTTTTATAGTATGTTATGTAGTATAGATATAAATTTTAAATTGTTTTTAATAACAAACTCATGTTACATATTGTATGCTGTGCATGTGTAGATAAAGTTCTCGAGGGGAAGAGCTCTCATTAAACATTGTATATTATTTAGGATTAAATTCCTTGTCTTGTCTTAACATAGGATTGGTTTGTTTAATTACAAAAGTCCCGTGACTACCTTTTGGCTTCATCATCAGAACAGATCCATACCATATTAATATTTATTTTTCATTCAAGTTAGATATGCATTTCAGTTCAATTGAAAACCGTTTGTTAATTTGCTAAACAAATCTTGAAAAGGAGCAAGTGAAGTAATAAAAAAAATAAAAAAATTTAAACATCAAGACACCTGAAAAAAGATAAAATAACTTTTTTCAAAAAATACAACCGACTTCAAACTTATAAAAAGTGATAAATAATACTTTATTCAAAAGCAACTTCTTCAAAAAAATGTTATTGAAGTTGGGCGGAGGGTTTGTGTAGGTTATCAGTTAAATGATAGGCGCCCGAATTCAAAGCATTTTCTTGAATAAGTAGCTTTTGAGATAAGTATTAATATTATTGATCACTTTTTTAAAGTTTCAAGTCAGTTCTTTTAATGATATTGATATTTTTTTAAATAAAATAAAATATTAAATCTATACATATAATAGAAGTATAGATGGTGAAAAGTCTGCACATTGAATGTAAATAAAAAAAAAACTTTATTAATCTTAATACAAGTTACGGACGCCAAAGTTTAGTTTCTCATAAGTTTTAGTTTCTCATAAATGTATAATAATTTGTTTATATCGTATACCTGACTCAAAACCTGAATACTTTTTAAATAAATTGGAGTTATTATTGAAAAAACTGAGATATAAAACCAAACACAAAGTAGTTATTCTCGGAGATTTTAATATTGACACATTAAAATCCACTAATCAATCCAATGAATTAAAAAGAATTGCCTCAAACTATAAATTAAAGCTTCACATTTCTGAGCCAACACGAAAAAATGCGTGTATAGATCACATTATGAGCAATATACCCGATGC